GAATAGGGGGAATGTAAATTTAGAGGCTTTCACTCCCAGCTTGGCTCCGGGAACCTGCCAGAGGAATGGGAAAAGCGGATTCGGCATAACCCGTTCCCCATCACACCAGCAACAGTTCTGGCTAATTTTCCCTTGGCAGCTCACCGTGTGCCAGGCATGGTGCTAGATGATCTACAGGGGTGGTCTCTTTCCCCCTCTGACTGCTGCAGGAGAGAGTTCTGGTTACTTTCTTTGAAAACAGAGACCCAGGGAGGCTGGGGACTTGCCCAAGGCCACATGGCCTGGCCGCGGCGGACCCAGGGTCTGTGTGAGCTCCTAACCGTGGCACTGTGCAACTTCTCTGCCCCTTGCAGGTCATTAAGGAGTCCAAGCAGGAGCACAAGGATGTGATGTGAGGCGGGAACCACTTGGCCCCTGCCCCAAAGTGGGAAGAGCCTTCAGTAGGAGATAGGATACTTGCCCCTCCTCTGATAACTAACTTCCCCAAACCTGGGTCCCGCCCCCTCACCACAGCTGCTCCCCTCCCCTCTGCAGCTCTGCCAGCTTTTGCCCTGGGATCCATCAGCACCAGGCCTGACAGGCGGCACCCAGCCCACTCCCAGCAACTCCTCCTAACGGGGCACTCACCCCACAGGGGCAGCCTGGAGGGAGGGGCACAGCCAGAGCTTGCGCTAGAATTAGGAGGGAAGAGAGAAGTTGGGGAGGGCCTGGAGACCTAATAAATCACCCTCCGTATCCTAATCCCAGTTGCCATGGCAACTGTTGCCAGTGCTGGAGGTCTCTGGGCTATCTGGGAAGTGGGTCTTCGAGTTTCCTCAGGCCGCTGGAAGAAAACCACTCTGAGACAGGAAGGGGAAGTCCCCGTAGGCAAGGCAGCCCTGGCCAGAGGCTCATCTTAATCCAGAGGGACCCTAGAGTGAGAGTAGGCTGGGGTACCCTGCCCCCCGGAGTCCTCAGCAGACAGAATTCCTGGCCTTCCCATATTCCGGAGGGGCCTCCTAAGTGATGACTCAGAGTGTCAGCCCCACTGAGCTGCCATATGGGATTGTGCTTGATTCTCAGCACTCAGGGGATCTCAGTAGAAGTGAAGAGGGCAGAGGTGCTGGGAGGGAGCAGGGGGTGCTGCCTGGCCCCTTGGTGTCAGCACAGAGAGGTCAAACCCAGGAGGACTTCTGGGTGGGGGGCGGGACAGCAGGTAGAGATGGTGGGGGCGGCAGTGGGATGATGCCAGACATCAGAGCTGGGGTTGTGGGTGACCAGTCACACTTGGCCTCTGGGTCACGGGAATCCAGGAGGTGACTCATCCTCTTGAAGATACTGAAACAGGAGAGAAAGGGGCTGCTGTCCGCAGGGGTAGGGCACACTTCGCCCCAGTTCTGAGGGCCCCTTCCTTGCTGCACAATCCCCGTCCACCCCAGCCTCTGAGCCCCTGCTGCTGCCGCCTCCCACCCCCAGCAAAGCCTGCTGGGGGGAAGCCAGCCTCATAGCTCTGCCTCTGTGCACCCCACAGCGGCCTAATGCTTTTCCCTAAGCCGAGGACCCTGTGTCCCCTCTTACTCAAATACAAAGTGTACCCCAGCATTTTAGGTAGCACTCTAGTCTATGATTCTGGAGACTGAGGCATGAGCAGAGTGAAGCCCCAAGTTTGTGTTCCTACAGCCTGGTGGGGGGTGAGGGGGTGGGAGACACCTTCACCCAGAGCGCCTGCTCTGCTCCCCACGGGAGGACTGTGGGGGGCATGGGATTATCTGTGCCCAGAAATGGGACTGAGAGGCCTCACTCCAGGGTCCCCCTCTTTCCTCTAAGGCCGAAGGGAGGGAGAAGTGGGAACCCCTCCCTCTTTCCAAGGCTTGGTGCCCTTTCTCTGACACCCCCCTGCCACCCACTGACGCTAACCCTCGGGGCACCACTGCTGCCTGTAGTTACTGAGGTAAATAAAACCACCTGCTGTGTCTCCCCGGGGTGGACTCCAATCTGTTCAGGGGAAGCTGGGGGACGGGGGCAGCAAGTTGCCTTGGACGAGACCCAACTCGTCTCCTGTTGCTGATCCTCTCCAGAGCTCAACCCACGCACCCCCACCCCCGCCACAGCAGCAGCCACATGACAAATCCCACCTCCAAAATCCAACCTTGCTCCACCGTAACAGTCCTGGGGCCCCCATTCTACTCTGAGGGCCCCTTTGCTCCGAGCCCTTCTCACCCCCGTGCCCAGAATGCCTACAGTTCCTCAGGAAATCCCTGAGTTTGACCTCCATTTCCCCTTGTCTAGTCTACCTTTCCTCCCAAACCTGCCATTTCTACCAGCCAGTCCAAGGGCAAGCCTGGGAGGAAGGCAGAGAGAACATATATGAGCACCCCGCGCTCTTTTTCTTCCTCCCCCCCCTGCCACCCCCAATTCAACCAGCACCTACTTGGCAATCCTCGCAGATGAGAGAATAAAGCACCTCAAACATGGTTTAATACCCAATAGGCCATCTGATACATATTAGGCTCCCTTCTTCCTTCTGTGATCTGCTGAAGTCGGAAGGCGTGCACCTTGGCTACTTCCATACCAGCCTCGGTCCCCATCTCCCACCCACCTCAGGCTTCCCCACTTCCCAGGTCAAGTCCCAGATGTGCCCAAGAAAATGGGGAGCAGGTTGTAACTAACAAATGTGTCCCTACCCATTTGCCCCATGTCCCAGCCCAGGGTGCCTACCCAGAGGCACCTGGAGTCATTTAACAAACACACTTGAGCACACGGTTCTTCAGAGGTGGTGGGGAGAGAGCCTAGGGGGAGAAGCTGGGATAACAGCGAAACAAGTAGCAGCAGCAGCGACAAAGGTGAATGGTGACGAAGACTGCCGTGAGGAGCAGGTACCCTATTAGGGTGAGCTCCAGGGCAGAGCGGAACTCAGGGTCTGAGAATGAGACCTTGTAGTGCCCTCGCGAGGTCACGCCCAGTCGGAACCCGGCGATCCGCACACCCTGCCGCCAGCAGTAGTAAGTGCCCCTGTCGTCCAGCTGGGTGAAGCGGATGTGGAGGTGATTGCCGTGGTCGATGAACACCCTCATGGACCTGTTGACACCCTTCAAGTACTGGGTGCGATAGAAGCCCTGGTGGTCCTTGTCCCAGGCCACCGCATGCTCTGGCCGGGCTCCCGGGCACGAGATGATGAGTCCGTGACCCAGCCTTTGCTGGTGGTACTGAATGGGCACCGGGGGCACCCAGGGCCGGCTGCCCACTTTGGACACGTAGTTGAAAATGGCCATCACACCCCTGCGGACTGTCGTCACATTCTGGCAGGGCGCCATGCAGCTCTGAACCAGCAGCTCGGGCGTGTGGTCCTTGGCCTGGGCCTGAAGCTTCCTGGGCACAGCCCGTGAACCGCAGGATACCACGTCTGGCAGAGTCTTACGGAAGCGTGGGGAGAGGTCCGGGCTCTGCAGGTAGCAGAGGCCAATGCGCCACTGCTCCCCACGCACCCCGCAGCGGTCACAGGGGGTCCACTCCCAGAAGGTGGTGAAGACATGGAGGCTCCCATGGTACTCGTCCGCAAAGGGCTCCTGGCCCAGGTCCTTGAAGGTGGCCACCATTCTCTCGCCGCTCTGGATGTCCACATCGTAGGCATAGAAGTAGTCCCCCTTGCGCGTGCCACAAAAATACAAGCCTGAGTCCTCGGGCTGGGCCCGGAAAACCAAAAGGCTGAACATGCGGATGCTGAAGCGGACCAGCAGGTCACTGCCCACCCGCACGTGGGCTGCCTCCGTCAGCACGCGCCCGTCGAAGTCCGTCAGGACGGTGGTGTGGCTGCTGCCCAGGTGCTTCTGATAGTACCAGACCACTGCAGGCACCTCCTCGGGCTTACAGTGGCAGGGCAGCTCGAAGCTCATGTCGGCCAGGTAGGCCGCATTGTCGAACATCAAGAAAGCAGGACAGGGGGTCCTCTGGAAAATGTCCTCCTTCTCCACAATTTCAAAGGCCTGGAGGCTCCCCCACGCCCACAGGAGCACAGTGGCACGGGCCAGGTTCATGCCAGAAGCAGGGGAGGGCCCGAAGGGCCAGAAGGGCCAAGGCAAAACCAAGATACTAAAGCCTATGGAACTTCTAGAAATCACCGCCGGGAGAAGGATCTTTATGAGGAAAGGATGAAGCAGCCAAGAAAAGAAGCCACGATCTGCAGGGACAATAGCCAAAGGCGAGGCAACTTATTCCCAGCGGACATACAAGATGCCCTTCTAAGGTGACAGATGTGATCTCCAGGAAAAGCCATTCTAGAACCTGGCCCTCTCTCCCCTTTCTAGAACACTGGCACTCACCCAAGAATGGATCAGGAGAAATTGGAATCAGAAGCAAGGGCCTAGGGGCTGGACAGGGAAGCCCCGCCTCCAGGCTCCTGGCCTTGCCCTGCCTGCCTGTGGAGAGGTCTTCCTTCTGGTTAGCCCCGGGGTTGAAGGAAGCCCACCGCCTTCCCCATCTGGCCGTTGGAAGAAGCCTGGCAGTCTGCCCAGACCTACCCTGGTGGCTTGGGCTCTCCCAGACCCAGCCCGCCCAGTAACTCAGTCCCCAGGGGAAATATTGCCCCTCGAATAAGGTAATATTTGACCCTTTTAAATGTCCATTCATTGGTTTTATGTTGTAAATATTCTTGTTAAAAGCTATGCAGATCAGTATTTGTTTACCATGGAGGCAGAATGATATTGTTTTTTCCCTTTTTTGGGTGGAGACTGTCACCAGAGTAGCCGGCATTTGGTTGGGCACGTGCCCATCTCTGAGGGTGATGATGAGCCACCGGCTTGGCAGACCTCAAGGGTGGGAAGCACAGCTCTTTTGACTTCCTGTGGATCTACACAGTTCAGAATATCGAGCCACTGAGGGGGTGGAGAAGAGGGGAAGATTCGGTTCCAGCTTTTGCTCTGAAGATTCTAAGTTGGGAAGGGAAGTGGGTGTGGGTTTCTCACTGCAGTCCTGCCGAGCCCCCAGGACCACCAACACAAGCCTCCAGTGACCACTGGGGAACTCTAAAGATAACTGGTCCTAAAAATCCACTTGGTACAACTCTAGCAGCTCTTGTAAGAGCCTCTCCTCCTCCTGGAGCCCATCAGGCTGCCCCTCCAGACCCTGCTCCCCCTGGCCGAGACCCTCCTTCACAGGTATGGGGGTGCCCATGGCCTGCAGCTTCTGAAACAAGCCTTTGCAGCTTGATCTCTCTGCGTGGCTCATCAGGCTCAGGTTCAGGGCGAAGCGCCCGGTGCTGGCTAGGCTGCGCAGGATCCCCAGCACCACCAGCCGGTCAGCTGGCCTCACGTGATCAGCCAGTGCCACCAGCAGCTCCCCTAGAAGTCCAAACCCCACATCCGTCTGGAAGAGCTGGCCTAGCTTGGGACCTCCAAGCTGCAGCAGGGCCTGATAGCGCTCCGGCCCACTCCGCAAGTATCGCCGCCAGTCCCGGTAGAACTCTGCTGAGGTCTCCAGCTGCAGCGGTGTTTTCTCCTAGATCACAAAAGAGGAAAGAGGAATCCAGAGCTCTTCCAGCTGCTCTGTGACCTCGAGAGTGAGGGGAGCCTGTGGGATTTCACCTTGGCTCAGCTGTTACTGCTCTCTGAGCACTGGGAAGGCTCTGGTCCATGCGGGTCTCATTTCCAGGTGAGAGGGGGTCCTAAGGCCCTAAGGTCCATGGCCCCAGGCCATGATTTGAGATTTTCAGTTGTACCAGGATTTTCCTACTGATGAATGTGAGAGGAAGTCAGGGTTTACTCTAAGCAGGGCAGAAGGGGTGACTGAAAATCTCGGGAAGAGAGAAAGAACTCAAGGTGAGTGTTAAGGATCCGACAGGCTGGGTCTTCCTCCAGGCACTGGCACAGGGCCATCGTACTACATACCAGAGAACCCGGAGCAACCCAGCTCTATCTGTGAATGCAAGTCAAAGGGCTGGCAGCCAGGGACCTGCCTCGCACAGTTTCCTGTTTGTTCTGTGCTACTGAACTCGCCCTCACCATCTGATGTTGCTTTTCTTTCAGGGACGGAGGCAGAAACCTGCCTCTGTTGGCTTAATGTGAGAAATAAGGAAATGGTATGTGTCATAAGAAAACAGGACTGGCAGTTTAGGGTGGTGTCCTGCTGGGCCTCACCTACCCGGGTGATAGCTGTGGTTTTGTCCTGGAAGGATGTTCCCTGAGTAGCGTGACAGTTCCAGGGCATGGTCCTCTCTCCTCCTATCTTGTCTTTCCGCTCTAGTGGCTTCAGATGGGAGGCCAGGACAATACCCCTGTGGGCAAAGGACAGGAATTAAGGAATGGACCTAATGCTGTCTGCAGCCATGGGGTTGCTGGACTTTGCATGATGCAGGCTGGACCCGTTGGCAGGTCAGTGTGACAATAATAAAAATAATAACAGCAGCAACAATAGCTGACAGCTTTTAAGCACGCCCCATGCCCCAGACATTGTGCTCAGAAGGCTTCCATGTAATAACTCATTCAATCATAGTAATGGCTACTCTCTCTTACAGATGAGGAACAGAGGCTCAGAGAGATTCAGTGACTTGCACTAGATCATACAGGTCATGGAGGGCAGGACCAGGACTGAGCACAGAATTGTCTGACTCTAAAGCATGGGCTCTTATCCACTACATTCCACCTTAATAGGAAGGCCTGAGAAAAATGACATGAAGCCAACCTGAACTCCTCATAGGAAGCCACCCTCTGCTCCACTGCCCGTAACTTGGCAGCGTTCTCCCGCTGGTACTTCTCATCGGCGGCAAGTGCAGCCTGCAGCTCTTTCTCCAAAGCCTTGAAGTCAATGATGTCATTCCTCTCCATGGCCTGTGCCTGGAAAGGCAAAGGGAATAAACATAAGTGGAAGGTCAATAACAAAGGAAGGAGAGTGGGCCTGGATTCTTTGCTAGCCCACAAAATGACCCAAAACACTCTGGATAACTTGTCACTCATCTTGGGTGGGTAGGGGGGCGATTTACAAAAATCTTACACAGTGAGGATTTGCTTAAGATTTTGTCACTGAAAATAAAAGAGTCCTGACTTTCAGTATGAAGCCATGTCTTCATTTTTTTTCTCTGTCTCTAGGAATATTTTAACATCAGTGCTTTAGATGAGGAAGCATTTGAATGTCAGGATTCAGTCCCGTCACTTTTCCATATAGTGAGCTGTGTTTGGGCAACCTCTTTAGCTCTGCAGCCTCCGTTTATCTGACGCTAAGGAACCTGTTCTACAGGGAGATCATCTATATGGTCTCCAGTCTTGGCTCTCTGACTTTTACTCGCTGTGAGACCCCCTTGGAACCCCAGATTGCTGCGCAGTGAGCTAGATGTTGCGGCGGAGTCATCACTAACAGCCCTACTGCAGGTCAGCAGGGTGTCTGCGAGCAATCCTATAGTCCTCCTCCGCCACCCCGACGTGGGTAAGCTGAACACCGAGAAAGGGGCTGGACCGACCAGGAATTGAACTCAGGTGTTCTGGTTTCTATCCTGTTCTTAGTAAACATAACTAACCCTCTTGCCCCCCCGACCGTCACCGCAACAGCCCTGCCCTTGGTTCCCTTGCTTTCTTCCGAGATTGCCAGATAACTTTGGTACACAACCGCTCCTCATAGACCACGGCCAGCGGCTTTGGTTGCTTAGCAACTACTCCAACACGCTGACCACGTGATCGGCCCGAAGGCCCCCTTGCAGTGTGGTCCGGAGGCGCCTGATTAGACTCTATCCTCTTTTAGCCTCACTCTCTTGGGAGCAGCCTGCGCCTCCGTTGGGGGCCCACAACTCCACCTCGCTTGTACTTGTGTCTGCGGTCGCCATTGCTCCGAGCTGATCCTCCGGCAGAGGGCTGTCCTCCGCGGCAAAACGCGACTGCGGCGTCTCCGGGGTCCTTCCGGACACCGGGCGCAGGCGGTGCGGCTGCGTGGGGCGGAAGGCGGTCTCCGTTGGCCTACCTGGAGCTTTCGGCAGAGCAAAAGCGAGGTGAGCTGAGCTGACGCGGGTCGACGGCATGGGAAAGTTGCTCCGGAGGGATGGGCGATTAAGTAACGTCAGATCTGGGAGAGGCTTTATATATACCGTCTGCCTTTTTCACTTTACACGTGGGTAAATTGAGATGTGTAGCGGGAAAGGGAACGAAAGACCCGCCCCCCACCCCCAACACACATTCCAGGATTCCGGGATTCCTTCATTGTTGTCCATAAGTAAAATCCTTTCCTTGGGCTGAGGTTATTCTTTCACTGTTCTGCTAAGCTTCCTCAATCCTTATTCTGCATTCCTTTTAGAACCCGCGTTATAGCGGGAAGTTGCAGTGAGGTGCGGTACCGAAATGTACTAGCTCTGTACGACAGTGGGCGAATCAGCTGTCTTCTCCGTGCCTCGTTGGAGTCATTCATTCATTCAACAAATACTTATTGAGGCCCCGTATTGTGCCAGGCACTGTTCTAAGTGGGGGAAAATAAAATCCTTGTTTAAATTGCAGTTGGGGAGATGACAGTAAACACATTGATCGATGTATTTCAACTAGTGGTAAATGTTAGTGACAGTGAAACAGTGAACGTGGGGTTGGAGAGTGTGGGGGGCGCTTTTTTAGAGTGACAAGTGAAGGTTTCTCAGAAAACGTGACATTTAGAGACCTGGGTGAAATGAAAGAACAAGGTATAAGTAATCCAAAAGCAGAGCATTTTAGAGGAGAATAGCGAGTACAATGGCCCTGAAGCAGAAATTACCTTGGTTTGTCCTATGAACAGCCTGCAATCACTTCATAGATCTTGGGAGAGCGAAATGAGCATAGATGTAATGGCTCTTTGGAAATGAAAAGAATCTCTACGGGTGTCAAAAGTTACACCACCCTGGCTGGTGTGGCTCAGTTGGCTGGAGTGTTGTCTTGTAGACTGAAGAGGGTCATAGGTTTGAGTCCCAGTCAGGGCACATACCCAGGTTGCAGGTTTGCTCCCAGTTTGGGGTGTGTACGAGATGTAACCAATTGCACCCAATCGGTGTGTCTGTCTCTCATTAGTTACTAGTCCGTGGAGCTCATAATTCTGTCTTTTACCTACAATCAGCACTCAACAGATTGCATCGAGGAAGGCAGAAAGATTAATCTAGGGCAAGAAATAACTATCTCAAAATTAGACATCCCATTCACTTAATATTTAACAGTGCCTACTGATGCTCGAGGCACACAGGGTCCTGGGGGTCAAGAGTGGCCAAAAAATAATGGTAGTTAACATTTACTGAACCTAGGACTCTGATAAATTTTTTACACAGACTATCTTATTTAATGCTCATAATCTTTTTTCATGCAGTGCAAATTGCTCGCTCCATTTTCCAGTTGAGGAAACAGGTTTAGAGAGGAGAAGCAACTTACCTGAAGTTGCACAGTTATGAACTGACGAAGTTAGGCTTCACATCCAGGTCTTCCAGCTCCAGAGCCCAGGCCCTTAACCCACGCTCTGCTGGGTTGTTTATTGCTTGTAAGCTGTAGAGCTGTTGGTGGTGATTAGTACAGTTAACTGTCGTGCCAAACAATAGCATGCTGATAAAGGTGCAGAAGGCTGTAGCAGCATGGGGGAGTGGGAAACTGAGGGCGTAGGAAAGCTTGAAAGAGGTGGCATTTGAACTGTACTTCAAATAGAATTCCAGTAATTGAAGTAGAGAAACCCCACAAAATACATACGAATTACAAAGAACACAAGTAACTTTACTGTACAAAAGCCTGGCAGACACCAGCGTAATCAAGTGATTAAGGTAACATCTCCACTGAGGGGACAAATTAAAATCACGTACTACCCTCACCAGTGTGGCTCCGTTGGAGCATCATCCCGTAACCAAAGGGTTGCAGGTTCAATTCCCGATCCGGGTGCATACGAGCGTACGGAAGGCAACCTATTGGCGTTTCTCTCTTCCATCAGTGTTTCTCTTTCTCCCTTTCTCTCTCTAAAAAAATAAAATTATGTACCACCTGATAGGAGATGCACTAGAAAGAACATAGCATCACGCCCTGGCTGGTGTAGCGCAATGGATTGAGTGCGGGCCTGTGAACCAAAGGATCACAATTCGATTCCCAATCTGGGCACATGCCTGGGTTGCAGGCCAGGTCCCAGCAGGGGATGCACAAGAGGCAACCATACATTGATGTTTCTCTCCCTAACCCTTCCCCTCTAAAGATAAATAAATAAAATCTTAAAAAAAAACACCTAGCATCACTTCTGTGATATTCCTGCCAGGAATGCATAACCTTAACCTAATCATGAGGAAACATTAGACACACCCAAGTTAAGGGACATTCCACAACGCACTGGCCTGTAATCTTCAAAGGTATCAAGTCATAAAAGTCAAGGAAAGACCGAGGAACAGTTCCAGAGTGAAAGAGACTAAAGACACGACAGCTGAATGCCAACATGCAGTCCTGGGCTGGGTCCTTGCCTGTGCCTGTCACCATCAGGACAGTTTGTGCAACTCGGGATCTGTGGACTAGGTGGTAGTCATGTGTCTGGTTCTCTGATTTTGGTGGTTGTGTTACGATTACGTAGGGGGATGTTATTTGTCAGAACCACACATGCTAACGCACCAGTTGGCAGACCTTTCCTGTAGTAAATATTTTAGGCCTTCTAGGCCGTGTGGGCCCAGTTGCAGCTCCGCAGATGCCGGGCGAGATCAGCCACAGACAATGTGAATGAATGGGCGGGGCTGCGTTCCCAGGTGGCTGTCTTTATAGACATTGAAGTTTGAGTTTCATGTAATTTTTGTAGCTCATCAAATAGTGTCCTTTAGAATTTTCTACTCTTTGAAAGTGTGAAAGGCTTTCTTAGCTGGAGGGCCGTGTGCAGTCAGGCCACGGCGCTGCAGCCCCTGCACCGACGTCTTGGGTGCTGATGGGGCTCTTCCGGTATTAAGGTATTTTAAATTTCTGTGGTTTTACAGAAAGAAGTACGTAAACAGAGACAGTGAGTATAGAAGAGAGTGGAGGGGAGAGTACGGGGCTCTGGGGAGCGGCCAGTAGGTCGGGGTGACTGCAGAGGCGATGTGTGAAGGGGTCTGGCCGACTGCGAGCCTAGACAGGCGGGGCCGCATCACGGAGGCCCTGTGACCGTGCCGGAACCTGACTCCTCTCCTTGAATTTTAGCATCATGGATACCGACTTGTATGATGAGTTTGGGAATTATATTGGACCCGAGCTAGATTCTGATGAAGATGATGATGAATTGGGCAGAGAGACCAAAGATCTTGATGAGGTAAGACAAATTGTTGCTTTTCTCTTCTTTTTATTTTTTAAAACAATAAAGTACTGATTCCTCCATGCTCCCATAAAACCTGTGTGCATCTCTAACTTTGCCCTGTTTATAAGATGACTTATTGCCCTGACCGGTGCGGCTCAGTTGGTTGGAGCGTCATCCTGTAGACTGAAGGGTCACAGGTTCAATTCCTGGTCAGGTCACATACCCAGGTTACGGGATTGATCCCCAGTTGGGGTATATATGAGAAGGCAACCAAGTCGATGTTTCTTTCTCTCTCTCCCCCCCTTCTCCCCCCCCCCTCTCTTCCTCTCTCTCCTCTTCCCTCCTTCCCTCTCTCCCTTTCCCCTACCCTTCCTTTCTCTCTAGAAGCAGTGAAAAAAAATGCCCTCGGGAGGGGATAAGTAAATAAAATATAATGTGACTTACCGGGGTCTTATACTGCGCCTGACCTAGGAACTTAGCTACTGAAGTTCCAAAGGGAAATAAAAGACAGTCATGTTTCCGATAAGCTCAGATTTTGAAAGATGAATAAAAGCAATAGAAAGCGAAGGTGCCGATGACTACAAGTCCCCTTGGGGAGGGTTATGGAGGGTGACGTCCAGAATGGTCAGAGGCTTGCAAAGACACCAAAGGCGACTTTAATGTTTTAGCAGCGTTCAGAGCAAGAAGTCAGCAGGCCCACTGCTCATCAGTGGGGGTGTGACAGTAAGAGAACATCAGGGAGCGGAGCAAATGTCCCGGCTGCCATCTGTCTTCTCCATCGGGGAAAATGTCCTTCAAACTAGAAAAAGTAGAATAGACGCTGGAGAAAGAGCATTGAAGCCACGTAGGGGAAGAGGAAAGAGAGCATCTTGCAGCCTTAGATGCATTCAAGGCTCCCAGGCGCAGGTGCGTCAGGTCCTGGGTGGGCCGGTGGGGACACCTTGCAGAGGTTACCTGAGAGCCACCGCGATCATCTTTAAGAAACCGGACCCTGGTTGTGGCGCTAGAAAGGCAATCAGGCAACTCATCCTACTTTTCAAAGATGGAGACGAGGCACTGCATTTCAGAAGCTACAGGCTAGTGTGATACGCATCTGCGGCAAAAAAGAAGGGATTTTTAAAACATGACGGTGAACACGTAGGAAGCTTGTATGTGTGTTTTTTTTTCCTTGTTACAATGAAAAGATTGAGGTACAAGTGAAGGGTATGCTGTAGATACCATATATCTTGATTTGGGCAAGGCATTTGATCTCGTATTTTTTTCTTATAAACCAATTATTTCCTTTGTAAAAATATTATTTTAAAGAGATAATTTTCGTTATACAAGTGATTCGTGCACACATTCTCTTTCACACCAAACAGATGGGTCGTATTCCTTGGGTCTTATTCCATCT